ATTTGGGGCCTTCCCAACCCCAAAGGGTTCATCAGCACCAGAACTTTGCTCGGCGCCGGGCGCTCCTGCCACGGGGCCGACCCAACCTCACGGGCGAGTTTTGGAGCTCGCTCTTTTGGAGCTCCAGTTTTGGGACCTCTTAAGAGACCAGGTCACCCGGTGGGTTTTGAGCTCAAACTTCGCTCTGGGAGGGGGTCGAGCTGAGTACCTGTGCTTTCTGCTCCGGGTGACCGTGAGCACGGCTTGACAGGATTTGGGATTCCTGAAAAGGCCACAGCCCTGTGGCACAGACCCCAGCAGGACAGAAAATCAGCCTTGTTTAAGATTTTTCCAAAAAAAATCATCGGGTTGACATGTGTCAGCTAAGATTTCAGACATTCCCGCCTGGAACAGCCAGCTCCAGGGCAGGTCCTCGTGATGACCAAGCTGGGGACCACCAGTGGGGTGGCATGCTGTCCCCTTTCCGGCACGCTCTCCTCTCTCCCCATTCCCGGGCACAGCACCCACCCTCCGAGCCCCGCCGGCCTGCCCTGCCCTCCCTTTCCTCCCCACACGCCCTGTGCCATGGTGGTGGTGCAGAAGAAGAGGGTGACGCCTGTCCCCGTGCACCCTGCACAGCATGGCCGTGCTCCCAAACCTGTCACTGCTTTGTCCAAGGTGGTTGGGGAGCAGGTTTGTGGCCCAGGATGGCAGGGGTGCTCTGCAGAGGCAGCGCAGGGCACTCCCAACGCCCACCAGTCCTGGATCCACCTATAGATCCACCTGGGGAAGTCCCTGTCGCTTGACATCCACACATAGATCTGTAGGTGGATCCAGGACTTTGACTCCCCTGTGGCAGGCTTATACGGGATGAGATCAAATTCCATCCACAGCTTCATCTCCGCCTGCATTCGGTCTGATCCCTGAAAGGAGGAAAACACTATAAAACGGCATTTTCTCCCCAAACCTTCTCGCCAGTCCCTATAAAAGGATTCCTGAGTGATTTAAAGGTGTTTTATCCGTGTATTGGTAATGGGAGAAGTAACCTGAGGGAGGTAATGAAGCAGCTTCTCTCTGTGGGTGCGGCATCTTCACTTATGTAGCCCACACCAGCATAAGAGCAGAGAGCTGGACCCCTTCAAAGATCTTCTGCCCATTACTGGGAGGACTAACTGCAGGGATTCATCCCACGGGATGAGAGGAACCACCTGAGACAGAGTCCAGGCTGCTTTAGTCACAGATGTCAGTGTAATAAGGTGCTGAATTCAAATGAATCCACAAAAACATACCTGCCCAGCGTGCTGCAAGCTACAAAACAGCCCCTACGTGCTGTAAGAATTTAGGGTCTTTCCTCTGGAAGTCCCAAAGCCACAGAAACTTCAGCTTAAAGGTGGGAGGAAACAACATCCTGCCAGTTCCTCAGGCTCTGACTGTGGGAGAACTGTTGAGTGCGAGCCATGCCCTGTGCTGGGGAGGAACCACGGCGCTGCAGCCTACGGGGACATTCCTGCCTCGTTGGTCCTGACGGCTGGATTAACACTGCGTGTGTGAGGAGGATGTGCCTGTCAGGTGCCCCACGCAACGTCTTCTCCTTCCCTCTGATGCTTCATGATGTTTGAATCCCCATCTTGTTTGATGGAATCACAGAATGGTTTGGGTTGGGAGAGACCTTGAAAGATCACCCAGTCCAAGCCCCTGCCATGGGCAGGGACACCTCCCACCAGACCAGGTTGCTCTCAGCCCCCTCCAACCC